GAACTCTCGCCCGTGGTTACTCGGATTGGCAGCCTGGTACCAGTTCTCCCTCTGCTCTCCCGGCGCCAGAGGTCTCGGCGGCTTTCGCCCAGGTGGCTGAAGCGACCCTGGTTGCGCTTGAGTCTCTCAGTTCCTCATTCAATATCCGGACTGCTGCTCGCTTTGCGTTCTCGCGGCTCATTGGTGTTCTGGGCGCGCAGATTCTTCCTCAACTGCCCCGATGGATCGATGGGCTCTTGACGCAGACTTCATCCCGCGATGAGATGGCGCTGTTCCTCCGCCTTCTAGACCAGGTCATCTTTGGGTTCAAGGGTGAGATCTATAGCATCCTCGACACCCTCCTGACTCCTTTCTTACAGCGAGTCTTCTCTGGCATTGCCGATCCGACAACCGGAACCGATGACGAGATCCAGCTTGCTGAGCTGAAGCGAGAGTATTTGAACTTCTTGCTGGCTGTGCTGAACAATGATTTGGGCGCTGCCATCATTAGCGAAAGGAACCAGCCCATCTTCGAGACAGTGATCACCACCATCGAACACTTTGCTAAAGATATCGAAGACTTCACAACCGCCAAGATGGCGTTCTCCGTCTTGGGCCGTATGGCAAGCTGCTGGGGCGGGCCTGACATTGCCCCTGCCCCTGCTAATGGCACCGCAGCTGTCCAAGTCGCACTCCCCGGCTTTGGTGGATTCATGATCACCCGGTTTTCGCCTCTGTGCTGGGCACTCCCCACGACACCATCCTTCAACTCGAAGGATGCACAAGCTAAGCAGGTCCTTGCCGAGGCCGGTGCTTTGCAACGCACCATCTACTCTAAGACAGGCATGGAATATGCGGAATACTTGCGCAACCAGGAACTTCCCGGCATGGGCATGGGAGCCGATCTCATCGAAGAGTTCCTGACTGCAATGAACCAGCTGGACGTGAAAGGGTTCCGGCAATTCTTCCCGGTATGTGCTACTATCTTATACTCCTAATGTTCTCGACTCAAGTGGAATTAATCTCACTAACATGCATATTTTCACAGTCATTCATCCAACGATTGAGCGCATGAAGTTTCCTTTTCCCCTCTATCTGCTTTCTAGATTCCCCCATCCCTTTTCCATATTTACGTTTTGACGCGACGAGGTGACGTCTCTCCTCATGTTGCCCTGTGACTTCGCCATCTTCTATACCATCTACTCCATCCCATCCCAAGTATTCCGATACCGATACCAATACTTGCCCAACTTGAACCCCAAGAATAGTGCTGGATCAAACTCTCGGGGGCAAATCAGAAAGAACAAAAAGAATTTACCTGATTTTCAAAAAGTTTCGAGTATATAGCTTGTTTCTTGATTCCCGTTGATCTCTTCTGCTCATGGTGCATTCGCATTGTGGTGTTTCATTTGTATCCCCCGCCCACCACTCCCCAGCGTATTTTTTTTCTCCTGCCCTTCCTCTCTCCTACCGGCTTTATAAGTAAGACCGAAATGGGGTTATTTTTTTTTCTCTCGTGGCTTCGGCTGATTTCTTCCAACTTCAATGGGTGTGAACTGGATCCAGTAGGTAGATCATGAAATGAACGGGTAGAGTTGCCCTAAATAGTTCGACAGCCTGTGTACAAGTGTAGTCGGAGGTGTCTGCGTCCACGGGTATGTTGCCTCTATTTTTAACGACTTAAGCCAGATGCTATACGAGACGTTATATGTAAGATACTACGATGTCTTTTTCGGATGTTCTTATTAAATGTATACGGTGTCCTATAACTATGAGAACATAGGTCCCACCGACATTAACAACATGCTCATGCTCCACAAATACGCCCTTTGTCTGTGGAGCATGTTGTCAATTTCGGTGGGACCTACTCCGTATAACCTCTATAAATAATCCGTATTGGCAGTGTCTTAGCACATTATTAATCGCTGGGATAAAAATAGCATCAGTTATCGTGCTAGTGCAAGTTCCGGTGTGTCAAGACACTATCTAGCTAATTTGGCACTAAAACAACCTTATCTCACCTTCTAACATTTATATTCAGGATTGGAACCTTCAAGAGATACATTGAAGTTCTGATAGCCAATCCCACAATCCAAAATGGCTCAGAATTACTTGACCGGCGCTTGCTTGTGCAAGAACATAGCATACCGTATTATGTTGCCCGCGTCCGAATCATTCCCTAAGGTATAGTTTATTGTTTATCTCCATTTATCCGATCAGACAACCCCCGTTCACCTATTGACAATGCCACCAGGTGATTATCTGTCACTGCACCAATTGCAAACGCTATACCGGTTCCAGCTTCTCCGCCAATATCATCGTGCCACAATCTAGTCTGGAGTACACCAAGGGGTCACCCAAGTTGTATTCGGATCGCAGCGATAAGGGCGGGCTGGTATTGCGCGAGTTCTGCCCTGATTGCGGTACGCCATTCACATCACGATCAGGCGATGATGAAGAAGTCGTCGCGGTGAAGTCGGGAACACTTGATGAGGAGCACCGACTTAATTGTGCGAAATTGGCAACGGAAATCTACTATCATCGAAAGGACAAATGGGTGGATGATATGGGAAATGAGGACGTTCAGAGGATCAATGGTAGCATGGGCGGTTAGGGAGAAAAAGTACATCTCCTGGAGTATATATGAAGCTTCAGAATCTGGGTGTTCTTCGGCATATTCTGCGCAAGAGGCTTTTCTATGGCTAGGTAACCTTCCAAGGTGTGATACTAGCGGAATTCGACCAATCCTAACATTTGCATCATCCCCTGTCATCTCGAATTGCTTTTCTAGTGAACATAGGCTGAGGTCATAATGATCCCTCTACATATTGGAATATCCATAAATCCTCGCTCCCAAATCTATCAAACATCTAATCATCACTTCTAGTTTTAAATTCACAGGTTTCTAGCTAGATAAGTCTCATTATGGTGGGTGAACATACTTGTGCCTGCGTATCTTGTGGAGTAGAGTTTTGCCCTAAGCCTCTTTGGATGGCAACCTACCAAGCCTGTGAGTTTGACCCTCATTTTATTATAATTACTCCCTTGCACCGAACTCATCTGTCCTAGTGTATTCGACCCGAAGCGGGACCCAGTTATCAGATGTTCATACAACCGAGCATGACTGGGTGATGGAAGAAGGATTCGGTGATGTTAAAAAGCTTGGCCATTGGTATTTCATACAGGAACGACAGTCCCCCCAAAGCTTTCTTGATGCATGAGAGCTGCTGGTTCCTCTTGGTTCAGCATTTTGAAGGGGAGGACATCGATTTGGACAGGCTTTTTGCCGTCTCTAGGGAGATTCCTCATTTGGGAAGAGGAGATACCTGTGAGTGAAGATGACAAGATTAGTCCCAGCTTTTTTAACAGATCTAGTAGCACACGTAGGGTCATTGCAAATGCGATTTCGATTTCACCCTTCAAAACGACCCATTATCAAGGGGCTTCGAGACGCCGCAAAACAGTTTCCAAAGATGCCCAACACAGCAAACAGCTCTGACTCTAAGAGTAGTGTTGTGCTCCACCCTGATTGCTTTGGAAACCTCCCAATTGAGATACGACTTCAAATCGCAACTTACCTTCCTACTGTCAACTTCCTACGTCTACGACAGTCATGCCGAGCAATGGTAGTTGTCTTTGAATTCCAATCATTCTGAAGTCCCGATTTTCCGTGAATGGGGACCGTGGGTTTCCGAACTCCCTAGTAACAAATCCCAGGAAACATGAGAGCAGGGACTGGCGACTCATATACCGCCGTACCGCAAACGTTGACCGGTCTCATGAGCACCTCTGGGCGGCACAGCGGCGGTGGAGAAACAACCGATGGCTGAGAGAAAGATATTCGATGATTAGAGCTTCGAATGAACAGATTGTCTCCAACCAGGAGTTACTTGGCGAATTATGCTGGAAGGAAGTTTCTTCTGGACTCCGATGTGATAGAGATGGCGTAAAATTGAAAGAATAGAGGAATTGCCAAATATGCGGGAGAAAGCATATCCCCCTTTCTCAAGTCGTTCTGTTAGACAGCTCTATCATCGGCTTAGGTGAATCTATCACACACGAGGGAACAGAGACCTATGTTACTGGTTTGGACCTGCTGGATGCAGATCCTAAAAGACCAAACCTGATTCTTGGGTATCGGCTACCAGAGCAATCCGTGACAATCAATCTCTATGGTGAACAACTGATAGGATTTGCAGTCAATGTGGGTGAAGCTGTAATCCATGCAATACGTCCCATTTTCAAAAAGAACATCACCACCAGCTGGATAGGCCTCCCAAATGGTAGCGGGATCGGCACGACCACAATGGTCCTTGGGCAAGGTATCAAAGCTATTCCATGAAAATTCGATGTAAGTCACGTACATGCCCCAGCCAAATGTGCAGCATAAGGTAACCTTAAGTTATTATTGCAAGATGATTGGTCTATCCATAGCATAGGACCTAGGCACGAAACGTCTTCACTGCAGTTTTGCTACAACCTGCCCCTGGACTGGCGAGTTACAAACTAGGCCAAAAATACCACTATAACCGAGTATTACGCTCAGATAGTCCAGGCTCCGATATATATAGCGCGTGTCATTACACGTTTCTCTCTATCTAGAAATGCCACAGTTCGTGACCACTTGGTTCCAGTGAATACTACCAGAGTATTACTATTTTGCCCTAAAAGATAGACTTTGATAGTGCTACATATGAGAATAGCCGGCTGCTCATGCGGTCTCTATCCGTGAGTATTCCAATGCACTGGTTCATTTGAACAAGGATATCGGGACTTCATACGATTCTTCTATATTATCTTTCGAGGTGTGTTTTCAGATGAGCGTATTATCATGTCTGCACCCGTGAACAGATTGGAAAACTGCGGATTCCGTCAATTTCTTTAGAGAAATACATATCTGTCATCCATACTATACCTCGCTGTACAGGTTGATTTCTGTTACAAAAACCAACAGAGTAAAAGAACTTCAATTGTTGAATTAAGCATTTACATATTAGAGACAAACAACAAGAAAGACGGCATCAGACAGTAACCATATACTTCCGAGACTTCCGGCGTAATGAAGCAAGCCGTTCTTCTTCAACGTTCTCTATGTTGCACTGGTTAATCATCATAGGTGGCCGTACATAGTACGCCTCAAAATCCGAGGGTACTTCCAGAGTATCAAACCAATGCACGTAAGAGTGTATGGGGATATACATCCATCCAACCATTTCCAGTTCATCGTCTGTCTCACCATCATGCCACTCTGGATGTATCTTGTATGTCCTTTCCTGGGGGGTCAAATTACCCCACGGCTTGGACAAAATCTTAACAACAGGACCGTGAAAGGAATCCTTGAAAAGCTCAAGCGACTCTAGACAGAAATCGTCCACAAAGAGGCAGAAGTTATACCGTGTGCCGAGAAAATACTGTGGACCCATCCCATGAGTATCATTAAATAGAAGATGTTCGAGTATTTCAGGGCTGGCGACGATCTGAGGTAGTTGGTCTGTAACCCATCCGTTGAAGTGGTCGCGAATATCGTGAGATGTAGCTCCATTGAACTTCTCGATATCGTCATTGATGACCAGCCGATGACGTGGCAGAAGATCCATTCGCTGGTTGTGTTCAAGGTCGTTTTCGATATTTTCTCTTAGGTGTTGAAGTAAGCGGCTCCACGCGCTCTCGTCCTTATAAGAACAGCGGTAAACAGAGAATCCCCAGGGTAAACCGCGCTTTTTAGAAAATATATCGGAGAGGGAAGCATCGATGTTCTTGAAATCGTCATATATACCGCGCGTCTGCTGATATTGTCCCGTGCTAGTGATCCTATGGACGCTGGTTGGAGAGCTCCGTGGTAGACAGCGCCGGGGCAAGACCGCGGATATATGCCTGAAGACAGAATGCCGAAGCAACATGGATCCGGGTTGAGATCCAATATATCGGACAAAATGCCTTCATTCTAGGAATTATAGAAAAAGAGACTTGGGTATTTAAGCCAAAAGGGGGTTTGCGGGACTCTTGGTTTGATGTCTCACCAACTGGCCAGTAGCCAACCTACAACATACGATCTCCACAATTGTGGCTTCAGTGTTTCTCACGAGGCTTGGTGTCAAAGTACTCCTGTCAATTAACTCGAAAATTCGGTCAGTCACCGGAACCCTTGGAAGTGGGAATTTCTGCAACAAGCCAAGCTGCACATTTAATTCAAGGTGCCCACCCAGAAAATCCCTCATGAAGTTCAAAGCCGTTGAGGCGTTGAGGCTTCAACAACACAGGGCCGATGCATGTTGAAGGTTGTTGTCCTCGGCCGGCATTTTAATGCGGATGCAGGCACTTGGAAAAAGCCCAAGCACAGACTGACATTTGATGACACTGGAGTCTCCACGCATAAGTACGACCAAGTCAGGTCCTATAGTCGGCCAGAGAGAACGAGCGCCAAATGGTTACTTCTTTGAGCCATGTCGAATAAACAGTTGCGGAAACTTCGAAATAATCTTTTGCAACGTCATAATGAATTTTGGCTTCTATACGCGATAAAAAGCTGGCTTATAATGGAAATGCCAGATGGGCAGAGATTCACATATCATTCACATCCTGATAGCGCACCTCCCAGTCGTGCGAAAATCGTAAGCGGACCATTTTGCTACAGTTGATTCGACCTGACCGCTGAAGAGATTATAGGAGCAGCAATCCAAACCAACAGGATGAAAAACACCTCGCGATTATGATGGCGTGGAGCAGAAACGGCAGCCAATTGAACAAAAGCCCCCCACGGTTGAGCCACTGATCTGTCAGGACAATATCTGGGTCTGGGATCGACTGGCTTGGTACATAAGGCAGAGTGGTAAATCGAATGACGGCTGCTTTCCGTCGAAGCGAAGGTGCATATCTCCGACACGTTTCAGAGGCACTGATACTACGTGTTTCCAATATTTGGTAAATTTTGGCTGTCTTTTCTTCTCTAGATTAGTGTCGACCTGTCGAGTTCAGGAAATATACCTAAATCCAACTAGATCCGTTGGATCCACCCCCCAATAGAGTAGAGGTAAATTTGTCAATCTAACTACACTTCTCATCCCCTGTAGGCTGGTGCTTTCTTATATCCTTCCACCCCATTCCCCATGCCACACAAAAGCAGCCGACACCTATACCAGCCGACAAATAGAAGACATGGTCTATCCCCCGAGTATAAGCGAGTAACACTCCTGCCAGTTTATCCTTTGAAACTGCGCTCCGGATCGCTCCAGCCCCAGCAGAAACCACGGCTCCGGAATCCACGGACGGAGCATATACCGCCAGGTTGGACTTCAAGCTGTTGATGAAGATGGCCTGTCCCAGGGTCAGAAAGATTGCCTGGCCAAGAGTTTGGCTAAAGAGGAGCAGAGAAATGGCGATGGGGGTTTCGGCTTTAGGGAGGCTGGTTTGGACTGCAAGGAGGGGCTACACTCGAATGTTATTATAGATATGCATATATATGTGGAAAATGGTGAACTCACCGCCTGAGTACCTAGGCCCCGTCCAGCTCCGATCAGGATCTGGTATCCAATCCATGTTCTTGTTGGTGTCGATGATGAGAGAAGAGATAGCATCCCGTTTCCAAGTGATAATAAAGCCCCACTACCGATACTAAACGGAAGATAGTAGCCCACCTTTCTCACTGTATGGCCATTAGAAACAATGCTATTTGCGGAGGTGGGAGAAATTTCTTACCTAAAAAGCCGGAGCAAATGACAAGAATCAACTGACTGGTGATGCTTGGGAGTGTAGAAACACCACTTATCATCGCGGACACTCCCTTCACCACTTGGAAATAAAGAGGAAGATAATATGTTGCGCAGGCATTCATCCCACCGAGAAAGAACATAAAGAGACAGGAGAAATGGACTATTCCCTGAGAAACCATGTAGAGAGGGAACATGGCGTCTCTACCAGTGCGGTACTCCCACCCCAGAAACAAAATGAACATGGCGCCTGAGCCGCAAAACAGACCAATGACTGTCGCGCTATTCCAAGGATATTGGTTTCCGCCATAATCGAGTGCCAGAAGGAGCTGAATGATGGCCGGTGCGAAAATGGAGAATCCGATCAGATCTAATTTCTCTCGGATGACGTGAAGGGTTGGTAGAGGGCTATTCGTAGCTCTCGGTTCTGGAAGAGTGACAAAAAGCAAGACAAGAGTAATGACGCCACCGATTGGAAGGTTGATGTAGAAGCCTACAGAATGGATAATTGGCAAGAGGTTCCAGACAAAGAGACAAACACAGAGATAGTACTTACACCATCGCCATGATACATACTCCGTTAGCGCCCCTCCAATCAATGGTCCGAGGACAAGGCCGAGCTGAGCAACTGGAAAATTACGGGTCAGAGGAGATATCCTAAGGTGTATCCAATTGGCCTACTTACTCGCCAGCAAGATGGCCGTCATGGCTATCAAAAATTAGTGTTATTTCAAAAAGGAGGCAAGATTGTATGATGCATACGTGCTTGTTTCTTCGGGGGAAAGGATCTCGTAATAATTGTCAAGGCACCATTTTGGATACCTGAAGCTCCGATGCCTGCCAATGCCCGTGCAACAATGAGCATTTTCGAGCTAGATGCCAAAGCACAAATCAAAGAGCTGACCATGAAAATGCCCAGCAGCACAATGAACGTTTTCTGGTTAATATTAGCTATTTTCGCCAGCAAGACAGTAAGATATGTGCCAGCGTACCTTCGTGTTGAAGTGTGTGTATAGTTTCCCTGTGAGTGGTTGAAAAGATGCACTGGATAGAATATTAGTGGAGTCTTCATTTTTTTCTCCTTTTCTCTTTTTCAGGTTTGAGTTTTGAATTTTATCTTTCATCAAGTTTTATATGTTTTTAACCTTTGAGATAACTAGATAGTGATAGCTGACATACCTAGTAAGCTGATATGCACTACCATACCATCCCACATCAGAAAGAGAATGAAATTGGCTTGTGATTTGGGGAATTGCCTATTATGACATGTCATCAGTCAAGAGGAACATATACCTAACTAGGAGTCCCTAGTATCTCAAAGCAAGCTTACCGGGGCCACTATAGAAGTATCAATAAGCACAAGAAGGACGGCAGACGTCAAAGCCGACAGCAGCAACGCAAGCGCAAAGCCAGTGATATACTCTTGTCGCTCTATTTCTGGCTCTTGCTCTTCAGCCGTATCCATTCTGCTATCCTGTCCCCTCGATGCTACAAGCGTCTTCTCTTGTTGGCTGGGAGTCGGGAACTGGGAAGTATCATCATATGCCTGCTTTTCCATTTCCTTTGGTGGGCGTAGCGATATAGTTGTTAAGAGTTCAAGGAATCTGTCGTCAATCAAAGATGAAGGGAATCAAGGGAGGCAGTCTGCGCGCGCACACGTGACCCCCTCTTTATTGATTCTTGCAAGTTGTAGCTAAATTGCTAAATTATAGTAGGGGGTAAGGAGCGGAAAATGGAGAACAAAAAAAGAAAGCGTAGAGATTTGCACGGTCCCATTTGGGTATTTGAAACGATGCATTGTTGTAGCTCCAAGGGAGTAATCACCAATTCGCGTAGACCACGACATAATCAGCATTCCAGCAATGAGAGATTTCACTGTTTAAGTTCGAAGGGTTTAACCGGAACAGTTCTTTGCATCTTAGATAATTTACCCGTCTAAAATCTATAAAATTATTGAATTTTTTGGTGGAGAACACAAGAGCAAATATCAGACCCACCGATAATCTTTTGTGGCGGTACCATAGTAACTAGTGCCATCTAAGCTGTGAGACTAGCGTTACGAATGGAGATGCGTCTCCACTAAACTCCCTAACGCTGCACAGACACAGGAAAGTTCAATAGTCTGGATAGATTTTTTCGACGTGTCTACCTCAGCCGCTTCCACTACACCAGATCGGAAATCAGTAATCAGAACAGATATGAAAGGAAGGAAGAAAAGAACTTCTGTACGCGCGATGCTGAAGGGTAGTTCGATAATTAAGGTTCCAATGAGGGCTGGAACTCAGCTGTACAGGATAATGGACTTAAAAAGGTAACCTCAGTTGCATGTTGCACTGCAGAGTGGTTTCTTAGTTGTACAGGGTAGAGCTTGCAGGATTTATAGATTCATGACAGGTGGCCACGTCGGCTCAGTACTAATCTAAAGAAACCTCGAATTTCATTTCTCTCAACACCAATAAGCCTGAATCCCACGAGAGAAAGATATCCAACTTAAAGGTGCTTTAGATAATATATTGTGACGGAAAACTCATATTTCAGTAACTATAAAGTTTGATACCCTACCAAACACCATGTTACTTCAAAGTTCAAATATTTTGGTTACAGCCGTGCCAAATTGACCTCGCCGTCCCATGGAATAATCTTCACTAATATAGTTGCCTGCCCTTCCAACTTTTCGGGACTGACCGATATTTTCCACCTCCACAGTCGAGCCATGTCTCCCCTCCTGATGGTATACGAAACTTCAAGTCCAGTTTTTCGGTAGTAATTCAAGACGGTGGGATGCGTGGTAGTACTCGCGCCCAACATACGTGTCCGGAATTGATTTGATCGATGCCCAGACGGGCGCTGAAGCTGAGCTTTGTGTCGCTTTTGGAACGTCTGTCTGTCCTCGCTGACAGCTGCTCGCTCAGCTGTGGCAAAGGCCTCTAGAATCATGCCTCGTTGCCGATGGTGAAGAGAAACAAACGAGGTTCCTAGGAACCAAGACGATTCAGTACAGTCGTTTTCATTGTCGTGGTACGGTTCGTGGTGACAGCGCGGTCCGTAGAGACTTGAAATCAATGCCCACTCATTCTCCCATACCGGAGTCTGGAGGGCACCATCATCTGCTCGGGGAACAGCAATGATGACTCTAAAAGCAGGCTCGCAGAGCAATGAAATCCATTCTGCTTCGGACATGCTTGCTTCTTTTTCGTAGGATGACCCGAAGCTGTCAGGGGCTGTTTTAAGGGCGTTCAGGCGGAATTCGATGTATTTAGGACCCCATTGTTGGACACTCGCCTCGTCGTGGGGCAGTATTTCGAAGTGGTATTGCGATAGCGGGGGCATGATGCGAATGACTAGAATCAGGTTTTGCCTGGATCAATGATGAATCGTCGGGACAGAGCACTAGATTAAATCCTCGTCTAGGGAGCATCTATGTCTTATACTTTACTGATTGAGGAAATGTTGCAGCATCTATTTAGACTCAGTTAAACCTCGTATTAAGTGCTAGTAGAACAAGTGGAGTCGGTGGAGAGCGAGATCTGTATTCATGCGGCTTGAGTCACCGATCATCGAACATGGTGAAAATTGAAAATTCCTTTAGAGGGTGGCATAACAAAACTTTGGAAGAAAACAATTTGCCAAAGCGAGCTGAATCGGTATACACTAGTATGCATATGGACGAATGAGATCTACCGGAACCTTCAGATTAGGATTGATTGAGTGAAGTGGGAAAATGGGCAGGTTGAGCTGTCTTATGGCGGTGTAACCGAGTATTCGGATGATAATACCGATGTCGAATTATTACATACCCTCGTTTTACATATAAACATAGTAAATCAGGAATGAGAGTTAGATTAACCCTATGTCACCGTAATAAATCTCTCCACTTTTCCACATCTTCTTCCAAGCTTTTGTTACACAATATATGTGGCTGATCTTGCGAGGACCTGCATGGGAATATCAGGACTTATGCCTCGTAATATCGCTCCTTACCTAGCGGTGAGGGTGCGCCCCAGCGGTAGCCCAATTCTCAGCGGTCTTGAACGAGAGCTTGGAAAGACATGTCATGCATGGTTTTCGGTAAGGAAGCTATAACCCGGAACTGCCTATTTGTATTATAGCTCCCATTCTTGTCACATTTCCACTGCATTTTGTTTGACGCATTTCACCGCTGATTTCTATGGTCGTTTCCATGTTACCAATATGATTTCCTGGCATTTGTGTAGTTTGAAATATAAAAGCTCACAGCATGTTTTCCTCAATCCAATTATCTATCCAGAAAGTTTCAGCGAGCTTTTGCTCCAGAATGACCAATTATCTTTGTCTAGAGTCAAGACAGCATTAATCGTGTGATCATAAAATACTGTATATGTCTGGGAAAGTGGAGAGATTTATTACAATGACATTGGATTGTCCATTTCCTACCCAACTTTCCTACAAGTTTATTTAGTTACCAACAGCGCCGATCACCGCCGATCATTCAGCTCAGCAACACAAGCCCTTAAGTCCAGCGAGGGGCAGATAAGATAGAAGCCTAAATAAGACGATTCTTCGCACCGCCTGTTCATTCTTCTATTATTGCACTCTCTGTCTTACATTCTTATCAAGAATGGTTAATAAGCCCTCTTCGTTGGCCGAAGCCTGCCATGAAAACCAGAAGGCACCAACCACCCATTTAATTACACTTCTCGATCAAGTCGCCGAGCAATTCCCAGATCATGATGCCATCATATCCCTCCATCAGAACAGCCTGCGCTGGACCTTTGCTCAACTGCAGGAGAAGAGTATCCAACTCGCCACCCGTTTATCGTCTAGAGGCGTTGGTCTTGGAAGTCGAATCGTGACCTTTATGTATAACGAAGCCCATTGGGCACTACTTTTCTGGGCATCTGCCCGCCTGGGCTGTCAATTTGTGCCACTGGATCCCCGGGTGCTCGATCGCGACGCATGGGATGTTTTGTTTCTTCTAGATCAACTGGAACCAGGAGCAATATTTGTATCAAACGAGGCCATGGCGAATCGGATTACACATATCACAACCGATCATCACCATCGCCCTTTTGTTCAGTGCGTTGTCAGCGACAATGAAGAGATTAATGTTTCGGCCGGGTGGACGACGGTGTCCAACATCATGTCGGAGCCATTAAAAGACAATCCTCCTTTACATCAACCCGGGAACCCAGATGATACAATACTTATCCTGTTCACGAGTGGCACCACTGCACTTCCCAAAGGCTGTCCGCACACGACCACCTCCATCGGGGCTCAAGGGCTGGGGTTTATGTACGAGTTGAAACTGGGACCTGGCACCAATCTTTGCCAGCATTTACCGAATTTTCATGTCTTCAATATTGCATTTACTCTTGCATTCTGGCTGGCTGGTGCGACTGTTATCTTCCCAAGCCTTTCTTTCGACCCACAAGCCACCTTGCAGTTGATCAGATCCTATCAACGGGTCACAGCTCCCTGTGTCCCGGCCATGATACATGCTTTACTGAACTGTGCATCGCCTCAGAATAGCTCCCGGCCTTCGTTTGAAGTTGTTCTAGGTGGTGCTCCAGTGACACTGGACGTAGTGAAGCGCTGTAGGGATTTGGGGGCGACAAGGGTGCTGATAGGATATGGCATGACTGAGGGTGTAGCTTTTGTCAACACTTCTCTCGAGATGTCCATGGACCTAACGACAAGGAATGTGTCTGTTGGGAAGGTATTCTACGGTGGGCGAGCCAGGATCTGTCTTGAGGGAAGCCGTATCCCCATTCACAAAGAGGAGATCGGTGAGGTGCACCTTGGTGGTCTTCCAGTGTTCCGGGGCTATCTTGGGGGAGCAATGACTCATGTTATCGTGAGGATGGGGTGAACTGGATAGCCACAGGAGATCAGGGGTACATGGACAATCAGGGCTATGTTTATATCCTCGGCAGGTATAAAGATCTTATTATCTGCGGTGGCGAGAACATCTCCCCATTGAAAATAGAGCAGTGTTTGGCCGAGGTAGATGGGATAGGGGTGAGTCAGCAAAACCTAGTTTTATTATCGAATGCGGTCTTGACGCAACGTGTACTGACTGTCCGATAGGATGTGTATGTTGTCGGAACACCAGATGCTGTTGCCGGTGAAGTGCCTGTTGCTGTGATGCGAAAAGATCCGTCAGGCCAAATGCCAATGAAAAAAACTCTTCAAACAATGCTTTCGAATGAACTTGGTCAATCGTTTGCTCCAGCACGCATTCTTGATCTCCAAGATGATCTTGGAAAGGATCATTATCCAACTACAACATCTGGCAAAATCCAGAAAACAGTGCTTCGAGAATGGGTGACTGAGCATCTCAATCAGATCACCGTCGACAATCCAATCTCTTCCGACGACCTCACAACAGAATTAACGACATTATGGTCTGGCTTAACCGGTCTGGCACCTACAGATATCGATCGAGACGTTTCTATACGAACCTTCGCCGATAGTATGATCCAAATCCAGTTTTGCAACCTGATAAGCCAAAAGCTGCAACTGGTGATCACGCTGATTGATTTGACAAAGTGTAACACGATTAGAAAACAGGCGAAGCTACTCAACGAAAGAAAGCACGTCAAGGACTCTTATTGTCGTGATACAGACCATGCTCCTCCAGCGCAGCTCGACATGGAGTGGGCAAAACGGGTGGCCTTTTCCAAACTGAACGGACTCGGATTTAACTGGGATGACGTTGAAGAGGTCATTCCGATTGCAGACTGTGTGAAACGGACACACTACGGACACAGGCCAAACTCGTGGAACACCCGGATGTCGTGGATTACGAGCTCATCAATCAGCGTCGCAGATGTCAAGGCGGCCTTGCACACTTGGCTTCAACGTCATTCACTGCTACGATCTACGCCTCTTGCATACGATGAGGAACTAGATCTATATTTAGTCATGCATCCCAATGAGGATTGGATGAAACTACAGATTGTGGACGGCGGGATGGTTAAAGACATAAACAGCGTCGAAACATACAAGCTGAATGATGCCGACTATGACCACCTCGATGGGAAGGGGCCATTGTTCAGGGCTACTATCCTAAGTGTGGAGAATTCGTCCGTTATCGGATTGGTCATGCACCTGCACCATCTTGTGTTCGATGCCCACATCCTGTTTCGATGGTTTGAAGACCTCAAGAACCTTCTGAGTCGCAAGGACCAGCTTCTCAATTTTCATCCATACCGTGACTATATCGCAGATTACCAAAGCAACCGAACTGGGCCAGCAGCCCAGAGGGCGGTTGACTTTCATGTTAACAAAATTCGAGGAATATCGTCTGCTTCCGATGCGTTATGGCCACGGCAGATTGCACCACACTGGCTGAAAGGTGATAACCAGGGCTGGGTCCACAGTGACAACACTCCAGGCCATCCCAGTGAGCGACCACTTCTGGATGGAGATAAAAGCATTGGCACCAAAGGTATCACTCGCGCTGTGCATGTGCCCAATATCTCGGAATTACAACATAAGTTCGCGATAACACCCCCGATAATTGCGAGATGCGCCTGCGCATTGATCAATGTGCGCATGACTGGAGCTAAAGAGGCAATCTTTGGCCTCGTTGAATCGGGCAGAACCTGGCCCTCTGCGGATAACAATTGCCCCGACAATAAAGGTATCGATATTTTAGAAATCGACGGGCCTACAATCATCCAATGTCTCAGCCGCACAAGAATTTCACCAGACGAAAGGGCAATCCAGCTTCTATCCAGGATGAGCAAGGACCAAGACGATATTGTTTCTAATACATATGCTCCTATGGACGAAATATGCCGGAAACTGGATGATTCAGACTCCAAATCCTTCATCGACATCCTCTTCCGCCAAAGTCTGAACTGGAGGATGGAGGGATATAAAGAACACGCGTCTGATCCAATCAAGTTAATCGAAAACATTTCTCGATCCGACTTTGGTCTTTTCTGGCTACCGGGCATGATGGAGGGTGATCTGTTACGGCTGACTGTGAGATACGACGATGCTCAGCTTCGGGCAACGGATGTATACAATATTATGACGGAGTTCCTGTGCGCTGTGGCCTGGCTTTGTGATCCTGGTAATATGGATAAGCCTGTGTCGCAGTGCGATTTCCAAGGTCATGATATCGTGGACCTTGATCGCGAAGGTCCGACTCGCTATCGGAAGTGATCATATCTGATTAGTTAAGTGGAAATGTGAAGGTTAACTACGATAGTTAACTAACTATTACCTTATATCAAAAAAATGGGCACGTGACAATCCTAGGCTTTCGTCCAAGTTTCTATCAAGCAGGCCACTGTTCTTTTTCGAATAATTCCAATTATAATGTACAACGAGCATCGTGGCGCTGGCATATTTCGACTTTCGTACCACGTGGTGACCTTCGTCCGGGTTCCTGTTCGAATTATTATCAGCTGATAGCATTTTACTGTTCCTGCCATCAATTCTCGATAATATGTGAAAATTAAAACGGTTTAAGAATCTGGCAGAGACAAGCTTTTCATTTATATTAGAATGCTATCCACCTAGACTGCGGCATGTCTATCAGGTGCGAACCCGAGTCGAACCCCATGAATCTGTGATCCGACTCGGGTTCAGGTTCGAGGTTCTAACCTTTAGAACCTGAATCGGACGTAGAGAAAGGAGAAATGGAGAACCAATCATACGTTACATTTTCCATAGCTCCTAAGCCGTATTCGATCCCACAATCAACAGTACCAAGCAAAGTCATCTATAGCAACACGTAAACGACTTCGTTAAAGATAGAATCTACTAGCCTCGTCACTACATTCTCTCTTTTAGCTTTAGACGCATTGATCGTCGTTTCGGAATACTAGCCTATAACTCGCTCCGCATTTTACGCTTAGCCGGGACATTTGTATATATTATTTCGATACTAGCCTTTATAGTCGATTTATTTATATTAACCGATAGCCTCGATAAAACACGGCTGACTTAGATATACTTTGCACATAATACGTAGTATACAAAGACCTTTGCTATGTATATATAACCGGGGGGACTTGGATTTACTGGATGTAACAGCAATATCCTTAGCATCAGCTTTGCCTTATCATTCAAGATCCCAGACTCATTCAAATCTTCGACCTAACAACCTGGCGCTCACTTGAGCCAGAAAAAAAGAACCAATCAGATTCAGTTTACAAAAGAAATACGGAAGGCAAGAAGGAAAACATCATGGTTTTGAGATTAGGAGTTAAGAGGAGAGCACACACTATGCAAAGAGGTACTTGGCCGCATGCTCAACATGGTCATCCGCAAAAGTAGCCATGGTATAATAGGAGTGGTCATAGTCAGGCTGGTAGCGAATGTTCAAGCCGGCGATGCCTGCGTCACGGGCTGCGGCTTCGAAGTTCTCCGGTAGGAGTTGGCCTTGTTTGTAGAAGTTGTCGCCGGTACCCTGTATATGTATTAGACATTTTACACGACACAAAATGGACGGAAGAAGTTGGAAACAGAGAAGCCAAAAAGAAGGAAAGAAACTTACCACATCAATCAAAATATCCAGCGGACCCCCACTCCACTTCTTAATCAACTCAGTAGCATCGTGTTCCTTCCACTTATCTTGCTGATCATCACCGAAGTAGCCCTTGAATGCCTTCTGGCCCCAGGGGCAGTTGGTCGGGTTCGTGATCGGTGCGAACGCAGAGACGGACTTGTACTTGCCTGGGTTGCGGAGGAACTGATTGATTGGTTAGATAAATGACACTCCAACAACAGATATTCTTTCTGGCTCCTGCGCTATACAGCGAACTTCCGAGGATGGTAGGTAGCGCATAACTTACCAAAGTGAGAGCACCGTGTCCACCCATACTGTGGCCGGTAATACTAACACGACTGGCATCCAACTGGGGGAACGCAGCAAAGACGGTCTGCGGCAGCTCTTCGGTGACATAGCTATACATGTTATAGCCGGCATTGTAGGGGGCCTTGGTGGCGTCGACGTAGAAGCCGGCGCCGGAGCCGAAATCGTATGCGTCGTCCTCGCCTTGGATGTTGAGACCGCCTAGAAGATGGGTGTGTTAATTAATTATTTTTTACATTTAAACACGATCACTTGAATTGGTAAAAAAAAAAACATGGGCAATTGACGCAATAAAAGATAAAGTAGACACATACGTGGGCTGGTATCAGGGTACAGCACGGCAATTCCCTTCTTGCTGGCGCTGTGTTGGAAAAAGCCCTTCTCGGAGCAGTTCTCGGCGGTGCAGGTCAGGCCAGAGAGGTAGATCAGTACGGGGACCTTCTGTGTCTGGGCTTGCGGGGGCAAGAAGAGGTTGAATTTCATCTCGCATTTTGTAGTTGTAGCGGCATGGCTTAGCTTTAGGAGCTTGCCGCCGAAGGAGGCGATGGTTGCGTTTGTGGTGACGGACATTTTAAGGATGGGGGTATATCTTAAGGGGAAAAGAAAACAGAGAGCTTAGAAACCGGGAGACGTTGACGTTTTTATGGTGGGGGGGGTTTTGGTCCCGCATGAGGGGAAAAAAAGGTCCACTTTGATAGGATTATTCTTCCTATTTGGGATTTTATAGAACTACTTTGTATGTAGAATACTATATGTGTCTAGGTAATATTTGATATTAAGACTTGCAGTTATTGCACTGGACATGGCTTGGTATATCAACTGCATCTTAAAATATAACACAGGTGGACATTGTTTAGTCTATTAACAGTAGTTAACCTCTTCAAAGGCCAAGGGCGAAGAGTCAAATCAGATTGCTGCCCACAGTGGGGAAAACGCCAAGGTATATATACACCATAAGAGAGAAATAAGAGAAAAATGACTCAAGATTCACTCCAAAAACACTGGAACTCCATAAACCACCGGCGCCGCGCCGTTGAGGTACCTCAACACACAAGCACTCCTCGACCGCGCAATTGCCGTGTCAAGCCCAACATCCTCCCCCCGGCTCTTGCCCTTCCTATCCTTCTTCTCAACTAGACCCCACGCATCAAAGGCGGTCGTGGTAAACCGGTCAATGTCCCGGTCCGTGACATCCCACAGCGTAGCCACGAGCGCGGGGCTGCCTGCATGGAGATAATTCATCGGCGTGCCGTAAGGCTCGTACTCGCCGGCTTCGGTCAAAGTACCACTACTACATCCCATGAGGAAAGTAACAGCGCATTGTGTGAGCCGCTTAACCGTGCGGCCACGGATGTACTGCGCGCCGCTGCCGTGACCGAAGTAGAGGAATAGACCCTTCTTTTCTAGCGCGTCGCGGAATTCGTCTTCGGTCGGTTCTCGCTGCACGACTGCAGTCCAGGACTTGAATCGGGAGAGGTCTTGTTCGAATGTGGTTTGCGTTGTGCGCAGGTCCCCTGTCGGGTTAAGGACAAATGCGCCGGAATTGCGGTCCACGATGGCTCCGGAGGATGCCTTGCGGAATTGGAGGACCCGGTCCCGGAGGCACTCGAGGGATGGGACGCGACAGACAGGGTATCCTTGGAGACAGGGGAGTGATTCCCATGGGAACAGGTGGAGAGCTTTATCAAGCACTAGGATTGTATGTCTCGGCGGTCGTGCTGCAAGTTCATCGCGCGCAGCTTCGTGGTAGCCTCGCAAGGCATCAAGGGTATCTACGACCATCATGTCGAAGTCAATCTCGTCGTAAGCATTGCGCTCACCCTGGAACTGCAGAATATCGACAACAAAGTAAAGAAGATCCATCAGCGTGTCTTCAGGTTCTTCTTGCTCTTCAAGATCACGAAGCCCAATGAACAAGTCCACGACATTCTGATGTAGCGTGAGCCGGGGTCCGGCAGCCTTGCCACCCTTCTGCCGAGAAGGGAGATGCTTGTCAAGGATGCTTTGGAAGGTACTCGCGAATCGGGCCAGCGCGGTAGTCTCCCGCGACAGCGGCGAGAACACACCGCGGAACCCTCCAAACCAAATGTTTTCAATGTTTTGAAGCACACTTTCCATCCGACGATCGAGCGCTTCGCGGGTCTTCCACCATTCCTTCTTCGACAACTTGTCCGTCTGAGCCTTGGCTGCATGCGCACTTTCGTTGGCGAGCTTGATGAGTTCTTGCATTTCCTCTTTTCCATCCTCAAACGTGAACTGCTCTTCGTCGTCATCTTCTGAGTTTCCTCGGTGTAGGGGAAGACGCAGAAGGAACGGTGAGCGGTCTTTCTGAAGTCGTGAAACCACGAATTCGGTACGGTCCGCACTCAATGACAACGAGAGGACATTCCAAGTTTCGGGCAGAATGTCGACGTAATCCTGTGTGAAGTTGGAGCACAGATCATTGTCCAACTCGATAGCTGAGGGGAACGAGGCTGGCCAAAGAAGAGGGTCGGCAAAATCAGCCAGCTGTCGATCGATATCAATCGCCATGCGCTCTCGGGCAAATGCGCCAACACGTCCGATCTCTGATTAAAAACGTCAGATATACGTCAAAACTGAAAGAATTTTCCAAAACTTACCATTCATATTTGCGGGCGACTGAGCCAGAGTCGCTGGGATCCCGGGAGAAGTCGCATGTGATAGCATAGAGATCCGACTCATCAAGCGAGATGCCGCATGGCTATCAAGCGTTGAGCCTAGAATCGTGGCATCAGAGAAGACACTGGCAAGACAATCGCTTGCCTTTGACAGCATAACCGAAAAGTCATCACTGGCTTGTTGAGCCTTGGTGCGCGTTGTTTTGGCTGGAGCCCTTGTTCTCCTTGTCGACGGCTTTGCCGGGGGTAAACTAGGCTCATCCGCCGTCTTGCTTGGTGTTTTGAGCGACGGCAGCGAGATTGTAGATTCCGGCAATACGCAGTACACAGCATGGCTAGCAAAACGGCGAATTGCATCAGCCAGCAGATGCTCGCTTTCGCCAATCTCCAGAGTGATCTTGCTTTCGCGGGCCACGGCAAATTGTCTGGCCTCTGCAAGTGTTTGCGCAGATCGCTCAAAGTCACGCAGTTCCCGCAGGCAATCAGCTTGTTGTCTAAGGATGTTGCCCTTTAATTGTAATAGGGATTTAGATTGGACTTCGGGGAGAGTTTGTTTTGGAGCTGGGGCTTTCTTTGTGGTTCTCGTAGTAGCGGCACTGGTTGCACGGGTCCGCCGAGTGGTAGTAGTCGTAGTGGGTGTTGGTGTCCGAGGTGTTGGGGTTCGCCGGCTGCTTGCTCTAACACGTAACTTGTCCATCTTTTCTTCGATTTCTGCCATGCCTGCTGCCTCTAGATTGGTAGGCACATCAGCAGAGATGACCGCGGTGATGATCTTATCTGCTTCAAGAAGAATACGCAGCGCCTTGTCATGTGCACCCTGCGTCTTGTACAGAGACGCAAGCGCCATTTGGAAAGACACGGTTTCAATACTTTTCTGGGTTTGTTTAGACGATTCGGCCGCTGCAGAGAGTTGATCCTGTCCCTCATTCATGTGGCCACTGAGAATCCAATGGCAACCGAGTTGGGTCTGTGCCGCCAGTAGCCGTGCATTGGCATCAAGGGTCTTATCGATTTTCAGTGCTTGTTCGCCGTAGTAGATAGCATCCTGGAATAAGCCATGGTGGGCAGATAAGGTGGAGAGGTTCAACAGGCAGGTATGGTGGGAACCCAGATGTGGCCAGAAAGGCGCACCTTGCATGTAGCTGGCAGAGACATCCGGAGAAGACCCATTCTGAGACAAGTCAAGCTTTGCGATACCATCAGCAACAGCCTCAACATCAGAATTTCCTGCAGCCGGCAACATCTTGTCTTGTTTTCTTTGTGCGAGCCTCTCAACCTTAGCCCAAATGCGGCAGTTGAGCCTTACAGACAACTTTGCGAAGTACAGAGCCTGTGTTGCTGAGCCCTGTGCGGAGAACAACCTGGACTGAACAAAGGCAGCATCTGCTACCAGTCTTTCCCATGATATCTTAGACAGGACAGTCAAGTTGTTTAGTTCTGACTTCTGACATTTTTCATAGAGTGAGCGGGCTGCTGAAAGAACAGCGGCAGCTTTCTCGGGCTCTCCAGTCTCCAGAAGATATTCCACCCGTGCAACTTTGTAGGAAATTGTAGCAAGAGAAGAAACATTGCTCTGAGCAAGATACTGTTCACCGCGCGATAGGAGTTCACCTGCTTTTTGGCAGTAGCCCAAACGGCAATTCTGCAGTACCAAGCGCGAAAGAATGATGATGGGGTCTGACAAATCCCCTGATTGCTGGAGCTCTGCGGCACGCAAAATCAGTTCCAGGGTGCATAGTTGAGCCTTCCAAAGCCCGTGGATTTCGGTATAATCAACCAAGGCTTTCAACTGCAAGACCCAGTACTCCGTGTCATTAATGCAGAGCAGGAGTTTTTTCCAGTCATTGGACTGGCGCACCAGTGAAGTCCATGATGCAAGCGTATCATCTAGCTCGCTTGTATCAATCTTGCCGCGGTGGAAGCCGATCATAATGCGCAATGAGTTGCTAATATGGATTGCAAAAGAAGCAATATCAAGGTCATCACGGACTTGCAAACCGCCATCCAAGGCCTCTGTTCCTGCATTCAACAGAGTTTCAACCAAGGATGAATCCAAGGCAGTAGGCTGCTCCAGTAGGAGCCGCAAGGCGGAAAGAATCACACGGGAATGGCGAATAGGGTAGACGTCAGGGGGTAGAGGTCAAGGAGGGAGGAAACAGCGGAGCCAAGAATCAAGCGAAACTCTTCTTCGTTTGAAGAATAGTTATGCATATCAACAAGCAAGCTCATCTGCCACTCTAGAAGAAGACATCTCTGTTCGAATTCTAGTTCAACATCGTCATAGACAACAGAAGGGTGAGATCCCTTCCTGCGCAACTTCATCTTCAGAAGAGCTGAAAGTACACGGCCAAGCATGAAACCGGAGCTCTTAGGATCCTGGTTAAGCGAGCTTGGATTGTGACCTCCGCTGATCTTAACGATTTGGTCAAGAGTGCCAGACAGAATGTATTCTTCAATCGATTGCCGAAACATCTGCTCTGAGTCAATGTACATATTGCCTTCGATATACAGATGAGCCATTCTCTCGAACTTGAGGGCTGCGAATGCCGTGTTACGCTGAGAGGGTGAGCAGCTTGAAAGCAGCTGGGTAGATTGTTTGAGAAGGGGTATGAGTTCACGGTAACCCTGTCCGGCCTCTTTTTCTTTGATGTATCGAGACCAGAACAAGTTTGAAAGTTTGACAAGTGCCATTCCTAGGTTTTCTGTTGTCTCTGTATCTTTTTCATCGGGGGATTCGATAGTTGAGAGCAGGCGATGGCAATCAGCCAGAATTGGAAGCATGTCTTCCCACGGTGGCCGCTGAGACATGATAGAAAGCTTTCCAATTGCGACAGTCGAATCAATGGCAGCTAGAATGATGCTCCTAGAAATTGAAATGCGTTTGTTGAACATCTCAATCTCCTTTTCGTCGCCATCTTCTGTTGGTTGGCG